GGGAATAGTTTGTTACTTCACAAGCTCACCGTCCCCTGACATTATTTTGTGAGGTTTAGTTTATCCTTCAGGGAAATTATGCAAATGAATATATTTTTATAAGAAAGGGAGCATCTGTGTAAATACAAACCTTTGAATTTTAGCCTGGGACTTTTACTGTGTTTTTAAGACCCAGAAAAGCTTAGAGATAGACCTAACAACCTTATCTATCACAGCCATTTAGTTTAGGATAGACATGTTTCCATAGCTACTTTTGGGTTAATGAAAAGAAAACTCCAAATTATTTGTTCATGTACTCATTCAAGTGGTCTTTAGGACCTATTGTGTGCCTGGCATTATGCTAAGCCCTGGTGATACCTGATGGGTAAGACAAAGTTCATACCTTCAAGAAGCTTGAAGTCAATAAAACAGGTCCTTTCTATGTTATGTAGATCTGAGTTCCTGACCTATATAATTTTTTCCCTCCCTTTGAACATCTTTTAACATTTCTTCCATAATAGGTCTGCTGATGATGAATTCCCTCAGTTTTTATTTGTCTGAAAAACTTATTTCTCCTTCACTTTTGAAGGACAGTTTCATTGGATATAGAATTCCAGGTTGGTGGCTTTTTTTTTCTTTCAGTATAGTATATATTTTACTCCACTCTCTTTTTATATGGCTGGTTTCTTTCTTTCTTTCTTTTTTTTTTTTTTTTGGTGAAAAAATTTAGATTTAGCCAGCTGGACTCAGTTGAGATGATTCCAGTTTTGTTGGCAACATCCAAAGCATCATAGCCAGGAGCCAGTTGAACATATGCCTTCTTCTCTCCATCAGACCTGATCAAGGTATTGACCTTGGCCACGTCAATGTCGTAGAGCTTCTTCACAGCCTGTTTGATCTGGTGCTTATTGGCCTTGACATCCACAATGAACACAAGTGTGTTGTTGTCTTCTATTTTCTTCATGGCTGACTCAGCAGTCGGGGAACTTGATGATGGCATAGTGGTCAAGCTTGCTTCTCCTGGGGGTGCTCTTTTGAGGATATTTGGGCTGTCTCCGCACATGCAGTGTCTTGGGTCGTCGGAATGTAGGTGACATGCGGATCTTCTTTTTTTTGTGACTGTGGACACCTTTCACCACCAATTTCTTGGCCTTCAAAGCCTTTGCTTTGGCTTCAGCTTTGGGAGGGGCAGGGGCTTCCTTCTTAGCCTTCGGCGCCATCTTCATAAAAGCTACATGGCTGGTTTCTGACAAGATGCCTGGTGTAATCCACATTTATGTTCCTCTACAGGTCAATTTTCTCTTTTTCTTTTCTGAGTTTGAATAGGATATCTTTAAGACTTCTTGGTATTTATCTGGTATGGTGTGCTCTAGATTGACAGATTTACTCTGAGCATACATGGTAAATACCCACGTGACGCACAATATAAATATGAATCTTATGACACAAAGCTTCCTCTCTTATATGTGTCATTGCAATACCACAGGGAACTGTACTAACAGTGACTTAAAGGGGTTTATTTTTCTCACTTAACAAGTAGGGCAGAGGTCAGTAGTTGCTGGCACTGGTGTAGCTGATCAGTGATGCCAGTAATACACTTGGGTCTTTTTACTTTTCCTCCTCCTGTTTGTTACCTCTTCATTACAAAATAGCTGCTACAGCTCCAAACATCCATATTCAGTCCTGCAAAGTTAGCTGTGTTCATTGCCATAGAGGTTCTCTTAGCAAGAAAGAAGCTACTGTATGCTATGCCACATCTTCTGTTTCTTCTGGTCATTGTACTCTACACTGATTACTGATTCTCTACCACTGAATAATTTTTATTTTATTTATAAATGGAGCATTAGAAAAGTATACACTGTGTTTTACAACATGATAAAGAAATGGAGACATTCTTAGAAATGGTTTTCTGGAGGAGCTTCAGGAAAGCCAGTAACCTCTTAAGTAAACTTATTTGGAATCATTTACTGAAGTACTAGTAATTTTAGAGACATATATGCAGAAAGTTTATATTTCTAATTTTAAGGAGATCGTACAGATCAGGAATAAAAACTTTGCCCAAATCAAGCTGAGTTTCATGCTTTTTCCTATCAAATTGTTTGTATTAACAATGGTACCCAGTCCTTTTGAGATATTCCTGTGCTACTGGCAAGAGTATAAATTGGTACAAACTTCTTAAAGGCTTATAAAAAGCATAAAGAACCTTAAAATGGTAATACCTTCTACCCCAAAATTTATCTCTAGGGAAACTTTCCTAATGAAAAAATTAGAATTATGGACCACCTTGGTCTGTATGAAATGAGAGTATTCCAGCAATATTTATATTTTAAAAATATTGGAAATGTTGACTTATGGAAGAATTAAATTAGGTGTGATCTCTCTATAGCTCGTTAAAATCATTCCCATTTTGTAACATATAGAAGTATTTATGTGCTTAAATATGTCAAATATTAAACTAGGTCTTTGTGGATAATGGAGTTACGTGCCATTTTTTTTCCTTACTCTTTTTTTGGCATTTTCCAATTCTCCTATAATGAATATTATTTCTACAATTATAAAAAATTCATTTTTTAAAAAAGACAAAATAAATATGTATGTTTGCTGAGTTCTTTTTTAGAAAGAAAGAATGGGTGAAAAAGTGCCTTGATCCAAGAATTTGGGCAGGCTGTACATTACTTGAAAAGAACATTTTACTGATAGACAGGGAAGTGGTACCGAGCATTTGTTCCTCTGGAGCCCTGGCATTTCTCAGTTCTCCATGAAGGGAGTGTATAAGGAAGTTGTAACAATAGTTCATTCTTCTGTACTCATGTAAATCACATCGTTTTATTTTTCTCTTCCTAAGAGGGCTTTCTGTTTTTCTTTTCTGTGATGTGTATAGGACTGAGGTCACTTAGGGCAGTAACTAAATTCAGAAGGGGAAGGGAACCACTTTAAGGAAACAGTTTGTCTTAATTTATCCAGATAACCAAAGTTAACTCATGTAAGCTGAGATCATTATCTCAACAATTATCCCTTCTGCTCAGTGTGTACAGAAAATGGGGACCCCGTATGTTTGAACAGGGACCTAATGGTCTCTCTTCCAAAGATGGTTAATAAACGAGTGGATATGTATAAACCCTCACTACCTTACCCTATGTGTGAGGGGAGGGGACAGGAGGGAGGAAGGAGCTGTTTCTCCTGCTGTCTGCCCTTCCTTTCGGGTATCCATGGCACAGCCTGGGAGGGGTTCAGATCTACTAGTTTGTCATTTGCTGGTTGGAAACCCTTGGAATAAAGTCATATACTTTTAGACCTGGAAGAGTTTTATGAATTCAGTTTCAATGTCATCTTCCATTTCTTACCAGGTACTTTAACATATCTATGAAGATTCCTAAACTAGGATGTGTTTTTCCCTGGGTTATGCTTCCTGAGCCAGGAAACCCTTGCAGCCTCAAGATCTCTAGAAAGCTTCACCATGTTTACCTCTCGACCAAATGTAACTCCTTGGCATTGATTTTAAGAGGATCGCTTTATTCAAGTTCGGTTAGCCAATAACATTTCTTTAGCGCATGGAAGAACATGTCATTCTAAAAGCATCATTTTTGTTGGTTTGCTTTGGCATGGAAATTAACCTAAAAGCCTTTGGTTTAATCTTAAGGATAGAGCCTTTAGGCAAGGGGAGGGTCAGGAATTGTTAGCTGCCACTGGACAGAAAGTGAAATGTATAGCGTGGCCTGCTCCAGCCCAGAACTCTCACAAAGGAGGATATGGCCTCACCTGAAAAAAAAACCAAAAAAACGGGAACTCTCTATTTATTTATTTATTTAGACTATGTTCTATACAACAACAACAACAACAAAAGAACTCTCTTGTACTTTCGCATCTAGAAATGGTCTTTTTTCTGAATAAAGGGGACTAATGTGATTTGACACTGCTGTTTCTTCTTTTATTTACTGGTTCTTAAGTTAAAGGAAGAAGTTGTTGAAAAATTCTGTCTTGGAATTGACAAAAACAATGTGCTGGGTTTCATTACACCCTGTGGATGTCTAAAATAGTAACCTGTCCCCTGATTGCTAGCTGCTATATGACACTCCCACTGGGATGTATAATAAGCATCTGAAACTCAAAAGTAGAACTCTTGATTTTCCCAGAGGATGGAGCTCCCATTTACCTGGTTGTTCAAGCAGAGGTTCTAAGACACAGTTCTTCGCTTTCTCTTTACCCACAGGCAGTCTGCCAGCACTTCCTGTCGACTCTACTTCTAAATATATCCCTAAATCACTGGGCTTCTCTCCATCACTGTCGCACCTCCTTGTTCAGATCCCCATGATCTCTTATCTGCACCCATTGCACTGGTTTTCAAATCCATCTCTTTGCTCCCTTATGATCTACTTTCTACCAAGCAGAAAGAATCATCTTTTTATTTATTATTACCTCCATTTAAAGTAACTCATTGGTTTTCCTTAGTAGTTAGAACAAAATCCTTATCCCTTACCCTGGTTTACAAAGCCGTTTGGAGTCTGGCCCCCACTACCTCTGAGACCTCAGCTCCTACCACTCTCCCCCATCCATAGTTCTCTGGATGCTGTGCCTTTCTCTTCTTTCAGCATGCCAGTCCATCAACCAGAGGGCCTTCTCCCTACCAGGAATGAGTTTTACTTATCTTCCCATGACTGGCTTCTTCTATATTTAAAATAAGATGTTCTCATAAAGGTTATCTCTCATAGAGGCCTTTCCTGACCACCTAATTATATAGGAAACCCCACCAAACCAGGCACCACTAAATTTATAACTTTTCTTATAACCTGTTCAGATTACCTGCATAGCATTTATAGCCACTACCACCACCAATGTCTACAAGCAAATATAAGACTCACTAGAGCAGGGCCCTCATCTGCTTTGTCATCATTGCGTCACCAAGACCACAGAGGATGTAGTCAATAATGGTGTTGCATGAACAGTTTTTCATATGCTGTGTAATCCAGTTGTCTCTCAGTTTGGGAATCAAGAAGTTGTTTCTGCCTGTTCTGTTTTTATAGCAGACTGGACTTTATGAGTATAAAGTCTTTGGTGTTCTGGACAATTGCCCACCGGCTGTACTTGCAGATGTCTATATGGACTTAGACTACAGAAAACAGTGGGACCAGTTTGTTAAAGGTGAGTGACACCTATTATTTTTTTAAAAATCATCTAGAAAGTAGAATCTATTGTTATTCTAGCCGGTAGAAAGCAACAGGTTTAATTTCTACTGTGTTTTATTTTTAATTTTGGCAAGACAGTCTTAAGTGCTGGGCTGAAAAATGCCTTTGTGATTCCTTGCATACTCTCAGATGCCACTCTCCAGTTTGCTCCAAGGCCTACTTTGTTCTCACTATAAGTTTGTCATCATCCCATATATCTAGGTAGTCACAGAAGGCTTCTTGGAGGAGGTGGTATCCAAGCTTTGTTTTGGAAGTTGAATCAAAGTTTTATAAACAACAGGAATGCAACAAACAAACAAACAACAAAAAAACACAAAACAAGAATGCATATAGGTGAGAAGCTGAGAGGGTGAGGGGGTGAGTGGTTTGAGGCTATTTGAGGCCCAGGGAACAGCCTGAGTAAAGCAAGGAAGGCAAGAAACAGTTGGCATGTTCAAAAACTGAGCAGTTTGGTTTTACTGGACTGTTGGGGTAGCAGAATCTAGAGCTAGGGTGGGAGGAAGGTCCAGATCCCCAGGGGCCCAGTCTGGCCACCAGGCTACAGTGCTTAGATTTGACACTGAAAGCAATGGACAGCTATGAAAGGCTTGAAAGAGGTGATCTTCCTGTCACTTAGAGCTGGGAGTGGCCTCTCTCATTTAGTCACAGTGGACTAGAACTGCAGAGTGAGCCCAGGGGTGTGTCAACTCTGAAAGACTCTTGCTAGAGTCAGGACCCTTGGTTGCAAGCAACAAGAAATTAACAAATGCCAGTGTGAGAAAAGGAAAAAGAGTTTATTGGTTCATGCCATTGAAAAGTCCAGGGGTTTCTGACTTCCAGGACACTGCATCCAATGTTTAAATGCTTTCTCCATCTGGACTCCATTTTCTCCTGAGTTGACCTAATTCTCAGGCATGACATTCTTATGTCATGGCAAAGATGGCCACCAGATGATCCAGGCTTATAGTCTCACCATATAAATAACCCACAGGAACAGGAATGAGCATTCCACTTTCCTACTCATGGCAGCCAGAGTCCCACAATTTGCTGTCATGGCATCCTGTGGATGTTTGTCATGGTTTTGGTCTCTTAGTGTTTTCAAATGCCCTTCCTATCTAGGGTGAATTGTGATGCTCCTCCATTCAAGGGAGAAGCGAGATGTTCTCTGTCCCAGTCTCCTTAGCAGCCATGGTTCAGTGATGTAATATGGATGTTGCCAATAAGACAACATGCAGCTTCAATTTGAGAGAGAACAACATGAGCAAGCAGGCAGCATCATAATCAATTTTTTGGTGATGGTAGGGCTAAGGTATCTTGACGTTGGGAGAGACCACTCTAGTGCCTCTGATATTTGGTACTTGGCATCAGCCATTCATGCTATCATGTCTAATCTAGTCACAGCAGTAGTTTGCCTTCTCTGGAATAATCCTGAAGTTCTAAGCCTAACTCTGGTCCTTCTAGATATTTGTGAGTTACCTGAGAGTCTTTACTGAACCACTTTTTGGCCCAAACTTGTTAGAGTGACAAGGTAAGACCCTGGCCAGATGCACCATCCCTGAACAAATCACTGGGCCATGTCTTGCTCATGTTCCCAGCCAGAAATTAATGCTGAGTTTAATTTAAGGACTCTGCTTAAACCACATAGTCAGGAGGAGGGAAACGATGATGCCCTGAAGGAGAATTTAAATTGCTGGTCCAGGAAGGGGGAGGTGATGCTGAGCATGCAAAGGTAACATGTCCACTTCTTCCCTTCCTCTCAAGGGCTGTCTTTAGCCTCTCGTGGCACCAATGCCCTGGCAAGCTCTTTGATCCATGACCTTGCTTCTAATAGATTTTCTTTCCAAAGCTGGATTAAATAATGCATTTCCTTCATCAGGAGCTCCTCAAGGGGTTCTCATGGTTATTTCGGCAGCCTTGGCTTGGCTCCTTCTCTAAATGGTTGGTTTGAAGCTTACAGCACAGCTCGGGGTCAGAGGGTGTGTATGTCATTGATTTCTTTGCTTTCTCCAGCTGAGAGTCAGCTACTATTTGCACACAGTAGAATGATGGAATACTAAGAATTCTGGTCATTGTAGCTATGGTAAAATGTAAAGAAACAGGAGAGAAGGAAGACACTCAGGGTTAGCCACAGTTATGCCACTTCCTAGCTGTTGAGGAAGGACACTGCCCTCTCTGGATCCTTCTTTTCCCAGCTGAACACACTAGACTGGGTGACTCAGTCCCAGGCTAGCTGTAAAAGGTGAAGCAATCTAAAGAGAGGTCTCAAAAGCAAAACTATTGGGATTCTAGTGACATCTGGTGGTTGCCCTGATTTAAAAACCTGAACATCTATTTTTGGATGCCTGATTTTGTTTTATTGCATTCTGAGAATCTTGCTTATGCTATACAATGGACACATTTTGTTGAGTTATTTTCTTTTTTTACTGTGTTTTTATGTCTACTAATGTCTACTAGACTCTGCCCTTGGGCAACAAACTTTCAGCATTAATGAATCTGTCTGATTTTTTCTAGAATTCTGTGCCTTCTTAGTGGGTTATCATATCCTCAGAGGTCATCGTACTTAGGCTTCTTGTTAATTGGAGCCGAGAAGTTTCCAGATACATTAACTTCTTTTGTTCGCCTTAGAACTCTATGAAAAGGAATGCAATGGAAAAACCGTGGTCTACTGGCAAGTGAAGTACCCCTTTCCTATGTCCAACAGAGACGTATCCTTCCTACTTGGCTTTCTAAGTGTTTCTTGTGCCCTTTGGCCATTGCCCAATGGTGGCATGCCCAGCAGGTGTGGACAGCATTGTTCTTGATTCTTAAAAAGCATCTGCTAAAACTGTTGCTTCTTGTGTGACTTTTGGAGACCTCAGTGTGTGATGTCTGGGCCTGACCATGTGGAGCCTCTGTGACTGTGGTCACTGGAGGGGCAGCTCAGAATTTCCTGAGAAGTTTTCTAAGGCTTGAAATTGTTGGACCACAGAATTGGGGACCTGGAATGAACTATTTATAAAGAGTGTTTAATACATTCCCTCGGGGTGCCCGGGTGGCTCAGTGTTAAGCATCTGCCTTCAGCTCAGGTCATGATCCCAGGGTCCTGGAATAGAGCCCCGCATCGGGCTCCCTGCTCAGCAGGAAACCTGCTTCTCCCTCTCGCATTCCCTCTGCTTGTGTTCCTGCTCTCGCTCTCTGTCAAATTAATAAATACAGTCTTTAAAAAACAAAAATACATTCCCTCAATCTAGAGGTGGAAGTGGGCACCCAGAGAGGTAAAGTGACAGAGGCATACGTACAGATGATTAGTGGCAGAGTGGGGACTGGACCCCAGGCCCCCAATTTCCAGCTCTCCTCATCTCGCCTCCTGTTTTATTGACCCCACAGTGATCCCTACTTGACTGTTGGCTCTGGATACTGGGTGTATGTTTCTTACCCTCATTTATCGTTAAAACACTTGAATGGAATGTGGGGAGTTTTAGCTGACACTCCAAGGTTCTAAGAAGCCCTCTTAGTTCTAGCCTAGGAAGGGGGATGGAAATTTGAAGGACAGGCAGGGTGGGGGCAGGATGACTGATAGGTGAGATTTCCACTCCTTCACTGTCCTCTTCAATCACAGCAGCTGAGTATGTTACACACTGAATTACCATAGAAGATCCTTTCAACAAAGGGTCTTGTGGATTCAAAAAAAGAGTTTAGAAAACACCAAACTGGATGATCACTGGGATCTTTTCTAGCCTCAGCTTTGTATAAGTCTGTATTTCCTAAATAATTATTCTCTTGAAAGAGAAGGAGCATGTGGCTGTGTTTTATGTATATTGTTTGTATGTGTTTTTGTGTCTAAGTGTATGTGTTTTCCTTGGCCCCAATTAGATTGTAAACTCCATAAAGGGTTTATTTCTTGCTTACATACTACTAGGTACTTTGTACAACATATGGTATGTATTTCAACAAATTGTGGATTACTCTAACCCTTAGATTTTATGTGGTTTTCCCTGATCCTGCCAACAACTGTGCAAAGTATCATCATCCTCATTTCATGGTCAAGGAAACTGAGGCAAAGAGAAGTCCAGAACTTTGCTCTGGTTCACACAACTAGTGGGTGGCAGAGGCAGGTTCGGGACCCATGTCCAGCTATTCCCAGAGATGGTGACCTTGACCAGGGCATGATCCCATCTCTCTGACCTCACTGTGACACTGCTGGTTAGGTCTTAGGGGTAGACACTTGGGCCTACTTCAAGTTCTACATAATTGTTTTTCCAATACCACACAATCTGCTAATGAGTTTCTTAATCTTTCTATATGCATGTCTCTCCACTAGTGGTTAAATTTTTGAGAACAGAGAATAGTGTAGTGGAAAAGAACATTCGTTTGGAGCCAAAGATCCCAGATTGAATGTGAGCTCATTCTCTGATTTGTTGTGTGACTTTGGAAAAGTCCCTTCACTTCTCTGGGCCTCAGTGAACCAGTGGTTCTCTGGTCATATGCCCTATGGTAGGCTGGACCTTCCAACCTTTCGAAGACCTCTGCCAAGTTTTAATCAGTATATCAGGTTGGTTTTTCCTCAATGGAGTGTCAGGTGGTATCTGCCACATGAGCAAGTTTTGGGAGAGAGTGGGATAACTTTTGCTGTGAGGAAAAAGTGAAAGGTCTTGGTGGCAGAAAGCCAGAGCCAAAGCAACATCATTTCTCCCCGAAAACATTTAAGAACTTTACTTGCCAGCCCGTAGAGTCGGGGTCAGTAGCGCATCCTGCAGGCTGCCTGGGTGAGGCCTGGACCCCTTTGGGTGCTGCAGAGACTCTGTGGTGGCATGGGGCTATCATTGTTGCTGTTACAGTGAGGATATTATGTTACAGAGTGATTTTTTAAAAAATTTATTTATTTTTATTTTTTATTGTTTAGGCTTTGAATTCCTTCTAGTGTGAAACCTAAAATTCTGCTGAGGCCTGTCCAGCTATGAAAGTCTAACTAGGTTTTGGAGCCAGATCTGGGTTTGCACTCCGGTTCCAGTTGAGCCATGGGATCTTTGGCAAGTTACTTTACTTCTCTGAGCCTCAATATTGTCATCTGTAGGATGAGGATACCTACACCAAACTCACAGGGACCTTTTCAGGATCAAAACTGATGCTATATGTAAGGCACATGGTAAGGGCTCAGTAAATGGTAACTCTCATTGTTTCTTAGGAGTAAATTATCTTCCCTATTGCAGTACCATAGACATAGTGAGCACTCTGTGCTTATAGAGATGAAATGGCTTTGTTATTCTGGGTGGTTAACCAGTGTTAACCCAGAGAGGACATCTGCCTACCAAATATTCAGGTACCAATGCTTCTTCCTCTGACCACTAGGTGTAAGTAACAGTGCTTGACCATCCTTTGTGCATAGAGGTCACTAACTAGAGCTTTGGGGGAGGACAGGACAAAGGGGAATGATCCCAGTGTTTATGGAGTACTTACTCTGCCCCAGTCTTTCTCCAGTGCCCCCACCAGGCGTGCCTGCTGGGGAATCTAACCCCCTTAGCTTTGGAAAGGTTGAGTAACTAATGCAGAATCACACTGCTGCTGAGTGATCAGTCCTCTAATATCTCACAGTGCCTTCTTAGACAAAGGAGGAGTGGTTTCCCCGTATAATTGAAAGCATCAAGGAATCATTCACAGGTAGGTAATGCATGCTGTCAAATGAGAATATCACGTTGTATGGGGTACAACCTTGCAGTGCAGGTAGGGAGACAGGGCAGGGAATAAAGGAACAGTATTAGGGAGCAAGTGCCAGGTGGGAGGAATAGAATCATCTCGCTTTGCTTCTGGCTCGTGGGGTTTCCTTCCACCCATCTGAAATGCTGGCATTGATATCATGCCTTGACTAGCAGTATAGTACGTCTACATCCGGCAGCGGCGAGACCTGGACATGGACGGGCAGAAGATCCACGTGGTCCTGGCCCAGAGCACCTCTGTGCCGCAGATTCCTGAGAGGTCTGATGTGGTCCGGGTGAATCAGTATAAGCAGAGCCTAGCGATCGAGAGTGATGGCAAGAAGGGGAGCAAAGGTAAAGCCGGGGAGCATGTTGGCAAAGCAGCTGGGGCCACTACACGTAGGCCATGCTGATTGTTAGGCATGTAAAATGCATGATGCTTTTTCCCTGAGGTCAGAGAATGGGCATGGGTGTAAAACAAACAAGGGATCAAAACCTGGGGAGATTTCAGTTCACCCCCAGAAACCTGGCTTGAGTGCATGGTAGATGGTTAAATCTGACTCAACCCATTCTTTATTGACTCTTGCATTATCCCGAGGAAATCAAACCAGAAAGCTTAAAAATTCACTTCAGGCTAGTCCTGGGGATACATACATTGGGCCCGGGGGTGGGGTGGGGCAAGGGGGCTGGCACTACTGTCCCTGAGGATGCAGCTCCTGCTCAGCCGCCTCAGGACCTGCCCGCCTTGAGTTCCGGCCTGCACGGAGAAAAGCTGTGAGCAGAGTGGGGGCAGCCAGCCACTTGTTGTATGGGAGTCAGCGTGGCCTTGTGTGTGAGGTAACCTCTGAACCGTAATTCTGAAGCTTTTCAGATCTGTCACCTTGGACATGCCACCCTAATTGCTCTGAGTCTCCATGTTGTCCTTTCTAAGTGGGGGTTTAATTTTACCAACTCCTTTGGACTGATAATTAATGACAGAAATAATTTTTTTTAAAGATTTATTTATTTGACAGAGAGAGACACAGCGAGAGAGGGAACACAAGCAGGGGGAGTGGGAGAGGGAGAAGCAGGCTCCCCCTGGAGCAGGGAGCCCGATGCGGGGCTTGATCCCAGGACCCTGGGATCATGACCTGAGCCGAAGGAGGCAGACGCTTAAGGACTGAGCCACCCAGGCTCCCCGATAGAAATAATTAAATGAGAGACTATATCCAAGTGTCTAGCACTTCCCAGGCATTTAATAAGTAGCAGCAAAATCTGCCGTGTGGCTATGTTTTCAAAAATATGTGTGTGTGTGTGTATGTGTGTGTATAACATAAATATATATAATATAAATATATATGTATTTATTCTGTGAGGCAAGGCAGAGGACAGAAGTCCTCCTGAATCCGTGTTGCCTCCCTCCTTACTTTTGGGGGCCTGAAGATAGAGGCAGAAGCTTTGCAGGGTTTGTTGTTGTATTTCTAACATTTTTTTTCTCCTCCTGAATTGTCCTTTCTTTCCCTTCTAGTTTTCATGTATTACTTCGATAACCCGGGTGGCCAGATTCCGTCCTGGCTCATAAACTGGGTCGCCAAGGTGAGATCGCAGGAGGCAGGACGGGAAAGTGTGTTTGACAAATGTTGACTTAGCCCACGGGGCTGTCAGGCTGAAGAGACACCGTGTCTCAGGCCTAATGAAGCTCTTTTATTGAAGCAGCTTGGTTGAGTGACTACAGTTAGGACTGAGGTTGCCAACATCCAGGATGTAGAGGCTGGGACAAAGGAGAAGAATCCTTAGCTGGAATGTTAGACCCTCCCTGCTAGCAAGACCCTGCCAGGATCACTCTCTGCATCCTCCGGATAAAAGCCTGCTCCTTGTAGGAAAAATGAAAAATGGTGCCTTTGGACCCTGTGTCTGCTTATGACAGGCCAACCTGGCTTGAGAGACAACCAGACGTGTCCAAGCCTGGAAGCCTCCAGTTTTGTTATTGTTGTTTTGTTTCTCTGTAAGGAGAGGAGACTGCAGTGGTGGCCAGATCACTAGAGACCCCCAGAGAACCTGGCTTTATGGGAACCATTCAGTGCTTTGTAGGAGGGCTACTTACCGGTGGGAGGGCTCAGCACATTCCCTGGGAGAGTGCAAAGCGCACAGGCTTTGAGTCAAACACATGTGGTTTTGAGTCCTGGTCCAGCTTCTGTTTGTATAATCTAGGGAAGCTGTTGATTTCTTCCCTTTCGAAAATGGGGACAGGTATTACCACCCTGTAGAGTAGTGGTAAATTAAGGCGGTGTCTTGCACAATGCTCAGCACTAACTAATAACATAGTCTGCCCTTTGCCCCACACCCTCACCGTTTCCTAATTCTGTAAAAGAAGTCCTTTCTCTGATTCCTGGGTTAGAATCCCATAGCCCAACCCAATCCCATTTCCTGTGTTTTTTCTTTTCAAAAAATGGTGCCTCAGAATCATCTTAGCTTTTTACTAGGAAAAGCCAAGATACACAACAGTGTCCCCTGCTATCTAGTGTCACCTGTGCCTTGGGTCTTCTGTCATGATCTGTGGCCATGTTCTATAGAAATTGGACAGGGGCCCTATTGTCATATTTGTTATTCTCAGAGTCATGTTTGTTTACCTTTGCCATATCCCAAACAATCGGGAGAAATGACCATAAGGACACAGAAGTGATGGTGTCCTTTGTTTTGCAGAATGGCGTTCCTAACTTCTTGAAGGACATGGCGAAAGCCTGTCAGAACTACCTCAAGAAAACCTAAGAGGGGGGATCGTGTGTCCATGGAATGATGATCTGGAAGTGCCACAGCCCGCTGATGCTCAGCTTTCCTTTCACTTTTCCGTCTTCAGAGCCCTGCAAGCTATCCAGCATGTCGTCCCTGAGTGTGTTTGCCTGATGCCTGGCTTCCTTTCCCACTCCCCACCCTGGGACTAGCTGCCTTCTTCCACTGTTGAATATGGATCAGATTAGGGAAACTTGTGCTTGTTTATCTTTAAAAAGGGAAGTCCTCAATAGAGAACACAGTCATTCCATTGTGCTATTTTAGGGGGATGGGTGGGTGAGGAACCACAACAATCCAAGAGCAACTGATCCCAGAGAGCTGGCTCCTTCCCAGAATTTGGCTTCTCGCAACCCAGGAGGGGCTGCTGGGAGCCCCATCCCCTTCAGAGTGGACTCTCCGTGCACCAGCACTGGAAGACATGGGCTGATGGCCATTTCCCTTATGCTTGGGTATACTGACTTGGCTGGGGTTTGAGGTGATAATCCAGTGAGTCTCTCTGCCATTCCTACTTGTGGAGGATCATGAGCTGTTTTGATTTCAAACCATTCTGAAAAAACACTGGAGGCCTAAGCACTTAATGTGATAACCATTTCTTCTCATCATCCATGTCTGGGTTTCTCTTTCCCACATGCCACTGAGGAGAGGCTGCTCATACCTCACTAACTCTGCACTTCATTGGAAACTGAGGCATCATGATGGCTCTGGCAGTTAGCAAAAGTCAAGATGCTCTGCACACAGCCCTGTGATAAAGTGTCTTTCTAGGTAATAAAATGTATCCCCCTTCTAGAATGTTTAGCAACACTGAATGGATCACAGTCAGGGAAATATCAATTAGTGGATTAGTTGACTCTACACCTTTTTCTCAGGAATTCTACCTAAGTTGCCTGCCTCTTCTACTACCAAAAGACTTCCAGTTTTCTGTTTTCTCCTGAATTTTGGTAAGGCAAAATATTCTATGGCTAAAAACACAGCCTTCATGATCTCAGGGAAAAATTTTAACCACTGTGTGTGATGGTACTGAAACTTGATGAGAGGTCATAGAAATTCAGGATGTAAATCCAGAAGCAGAGGATTTATTAAAATGGGCTATGTCGGACTGTATGTCTTCTCTCTGGGAAAAACAGATTGAATACCAATAAATACAGAATGACTTAAATTGCCCTGCTTGCAGCTTTCTTTCTACCTTGATCCTTCTGTGAGATGGAATCAGTAAGGTCTCATTTGTTTGCAAGGCACATCCAACCTTAACTAATGAACTTGAACATAAAAAAGAATTTTAGGTGCACTTGCATGCAAGACCAGCTGTAGAGTGGCCTCATGTTTGGTTGATACAGGTACTCAAACTGACGTTAGAATTTGGCTACGTTCGTCTTCAGGTTGTCTTTGATGTTGGGCTGTGTCTGGTGGCAGGACCGCTGCTGACAGCAAAAGGTAGGCCTACATCTTCCCAGGCTCATGCTGAGCCAAAAAAAGACATAATTTCTTTCCAGTAGATCCCACACCATCCTATGACTTTCTCTCAACCATGTGCCTGTCCCTTCCCCAGTCATTGTGGTCATATGGATAGATTTATGCAAATAACTGACTACCTCATACATTTACCATTTTTAAAAATATCACTATCAGTAATGTAGCTGGCATTTAATTTTAGATAAATGAAATCTAAATCTATGTAATAGAGGGTCAGGTTGAAATTTTAAGTATAGAGTCACTGAAACACAAGTACTACAATTATAGTTTTTGAACACAGAATCAACATGAATTGGTGTCATGCAACCATGACAGTGTTATGGTTGCATAACACAGTTAAACAGTGTTTGAGAATTTGCTAAGAACTCCGAGAACACTACGAATATGGCATGTCTAAGTAAAGTAGTTATAAAAAAAGGTTTGCAATAATTAGTAGAGTTTTGAATCTTTGGCATTTATGTGTGCTAATTTGGAGAAGACAGTTTACACAGCACTAAAGTATGAGGTTATGGGGGAAACTGAGAACCCATGAGTCGGTAAGTAAATGCCAGAGGTGCAGAAAATGTAGAACAGATACTTCAGAGGTTGTACCTGATTCCTCAGGGTGTGCCTCTCCACAAGGGCTGGGTGTATCCTTTGGAATTTGAAAGTAAATGTTGTTCGCTTATTTTTTCCATGTCTGTCTCTCCAAATAGACAATAAGCTCTGTGTGGGTAGAAAGAGTTATTTCACTTTGATTACTGCCCCCTAGGGGACTGTATAGTAGGCAAATGAGTGACTAAATGATTTAGAGAAGATGGACCAAATGACACACCCAGAAGGCCAAACCCATCCAGATATGGAGGTTTAATTTGATTACACCTTACTATTATTTAATAATTTAATTCAGGTCCAATTATTTCACCAAGTCATCATTTTTTGGGAGGGGGGGTTCTAGATTCCCAAGGTTCTCACTGGTCCTTTATTTGTTAAGGGGAGGCTTTGCTGGTGTAGTTAGATTATTTTTTATTTTTTTTAGTTACAGATTATTTTTTAATGTTAATAGAAATGGCACAGTCTGGACGGAGTCCAGTTGAGATTAGTCAGGATTTCAGGATTTTCAAAAATCTTTATTATTTTATTTTGAGAGAGAGAGAGCACCTGAGAGAGGGGAGGGGCAGATGAAGGAGAGAAAGAGTCTTAAGCAGGCTCTACACCCAGTAATGAGCCTGATGCAGGGCTCTATCTTATGACCCTGAGTTGATGACCTGAGGCTAAATCAACAGTAAGCAACTGAGCCACATAGGCGCCCCAGGATTTCAGGATTTTAATGCAAAAAGCAGCACTACTGTTGGGCTAAATTTTTTCCACAGGTGAATTATTCACACTGCAAAACAATTAAGTTATTAACCACAGTGGAATTGAGGAGCTCCGGCAAAAGGTCTGTTCCCTTGAAAATGTTCCTATTTCATTCACAGTGAGAGTCCTCACCCAGAGTCCCCATCTACAATGCTGTCCTTCAAACCTCCTACTTCCCAGCTGGATTTGGGAGAGACAAAGCAGAAAGAACCCATTCAGTTTTCATGTTTCTGGTAGCACCAGCCAGTCAGCTCAGAGAATTATCCTTAGAAGCGTTGAGACATGCTTTCACCTAACAGATAATGAGTCTGGTGTCCACCTGGCAAGGGGACAGACATGGCAGTTCCTGTGATGAATGAGGCAGATTTGGTGTCCACCCTCAAGGAGCTAATGGTCTAGTGAAGAAACTGGGCAGGCTGTTAAAAGACTGGTGAGCTTTGACAAAGGGCAAGTGAAGGGTGCCAGATGCTGTAAAACTGGGGGAACTGAGTTTGAGGGGTCAGGGAAGAACATGTTGTAGTTGGCTGCATGAAGGTTGGAGAGAAAACTGTTCTGCATGGAAGGAACCATTGGCATAAAGCTCCTCCAGCAGGAGAGCCAGTCACATGTGAAGAACTACCAAAGCCAGTATGGCTGAAGCAATCGGTGTGAAGGAGAGGCATCTCAGCCAGGTCTGAAGTAGACGGGCAATGGGTGATTGAGAGAGCCATGATTTTCGACTTTATATCCAGAACACCAATAAACTTTGAAGGACTGACCTAACATCAGCAGTGACCTGATGAGTTTATTCATTCTTAATGGCTGCTCATTTCGCCCCATGGTTCTTTCTTCACCATCTCTTAACAGTCCCTCCAACACCATCATGGGGGTATTGTCCATGGTGCTTTAAGACTTGTCACGTGGAATCCTCTTCACCAGCAGGCAGCAGGCAGAGTAGCCCACACCCAAATCTAGGTTCCAAAGTGGAGCATCAGTCCCTGAAGCCTAACCAAAAAAAAGAGAGGCAGGGAACATCCACGCACAACCCGTCTGTCTCTCCTGGCCCATTCTGGAGTATATGACATACCCTCCAATTGGCCGCATCATGCAGCCCACATGAGCAGAACCATTTCAAGATCCAGTAGAAGGAGAGAAAAAGGAAAGGCATCAAAAGTATAAGCAGACCTGCTTTCTCCAAAGTTTCTTTTTGTGCACTCCTCCCCAGCCACAAAACAAGAACTTTTCTTTCTTGAGAAGACAGAAATATTGTTTAGGTTCTCAGAGTTTAGAACTAACCAAAAGGGAGGGCTTCAGAAAAATTATTTATATTGCTAATGCAAGTGTATTTTTGTATGTGTCTGCATGGGTAAACATTGTATGTACTCTATTTCATAAGATATAATAATGGAACAACTAAGTGGAATTAACATGATAAGCCAGGTTCAGTGTTAGACAGTGAGGCCATAAAGGTAAAATGGATTCTTCCACTAGGGACTTAGCAGTCTAGAGAGGAGGTGACATACATGCACAGTTCATGATAATGAGAGAAAGTGATCACCAGCCTATGAAAGGAAAACGTAGTATTTTAGGAGTTTGTGGCAAACTGCTGTTAAAAGAAGACAACAGACACCTTGCTGAAGGGAAAAGATGGCGGAAGAGCAGGGGACCCTATTCCAACCGGTCCCTGGAATTGAGCTGGATATCTACCAGACCACTCTGAACACCCATGAAAGCAGCCTGAGATGTAAGAAGATAGATCTAGATTTCTACAAACGGAATATCGGAGGGGTTGGTTTCGAGGTACGAAGTGGGGAGCCTTGATTCCGCAGGCAGGTATCGAAGGATAAATGGAAGGGGGAGGGAACCTGGCCATTGGGATCCTATACCGCCAGTGAGTGATAGCCTCCCACGCTGGGGATAGGGCACAGACTCGCAGACCAGTAGCGATGGGGAGAGGACTTTAGAGCAGCCCTCTGGACGGAAACCTGGAGCGACGGGGCTGCACCTGCAAACTGGGGGCAGCTGGTGGTTTTAGAGGCACAAAGGGCAGAGACATGCCCCGACCTGAAGGCAAGGACTGCGAGCACTGCTGAGGGGCGCACAACCCAGGATGCTGCAGTTTATAGCAGCACAGACAGAAACGGAGATAGTGTGGCCTGGAGAGCTCATTGAAGAACAGACTGCGATCTCACTGCTCTGAGGCGGAGGGTTGGAAATGATCTCTTCTGCTGACTCACGGAAGAGACGCGGAAACCTGCCAGGGAAAGCTGCCAGAGAAAAAAAGCCCCAAAAAACCAGTTTCCACTGAGCCCATCCCCTGCGACAGGGGGCAAGGCAACTCTGCCCAAACAGGGTTGCCTGAGAAACAGTGTGGCAGGCCCCTCCCCCAGAAGATAGGCTGGGAAAACAAGAGGCCAGCAACCCTAAGGTCCCTAGAAAACAGGTGCATCTTGCTTGGGTTGTGGTCAGTAATTTGGACTCTACATTTCCTCAACCACCCCTCAACAGAATGACTAGGAGGAGGA